TCAGAAACAAAAATATTAAAGAAAAGCGAGCAGTGTTCAACCCTCAACTCGGAGCTAGAACAAGGAGGCACGTGATCTGGAGCCTATTATATTCCACCAGTGTTTATCATAGCCAGGCGCTCTGATTGACATAGCGTAGAACACGCGCCGAGTTCCGGAAGTTGTTAGGTTTCGGCTATTGTCGTTATTGCAGCGACTGGAGACAAGCACTACCGGAACGCTATCACGAGCCCAAATTGACTACTCACGCAATGATCGGGTCTGTGGGGGTCAGGAAAGACGTCCGTCAATGCAAATCAACAAACTTATCTTTATCACCACACAAAAACTGAAAAGAACATAAAAAGGGGCTCCTCTGAGACCGCCCTGCTACATCGTCGAACCAGGCTCGTGCTGTTCTCTTCGAACCCGGAGCTCGGTGCCGTCGGTGCTGCTCGTGCCGCGCGCTTGATACGTCATTAGCTGCTGACGTTGCGTGAGTCACTGTTCTGAGTATCGCGCTTTGGCGCCACCGCTGTTAAGTCTTGCGCTTTGGCGCCACCGCTCTAAGTCTCGCGCTTTGGCGCTACAAGGGCTCCCCCCCTAGAGGAGTCGCTATACTCCGTTTCAAACATCGCGTGCAACGCTGGGAAAGCTACGGAAGTAGTGCGCATGAAAAAACACACAAAATTGTGTTACTCCGCGAGATTTCGTGGACGAGCGGTACAAGGCGCTGCTCCGGCGATGCCGACATCTCGATGGCGGTGGTTCGAATCCACTTAAAGCGCAAAGGTTTTTTTTTTTTTTTTTTTTTTTTTTTCGACCGATTTTTTGTGCAAGATTGTGCGTATTGCGGAAGTGCATATTTCAATTCCTCTTTTCTTGTTGATTTTTATTTATAAGAAGGTAGACTAGGGGCTGGTGTTCCGCTCGAACTTGCGCCGGCCTCGTCAAAACGGAAGAACGGTCGAGATCCAGGGCGTCTCTATTTAAAGCCGTTTATTTACATGGTAGCGTGAAAATCAGAGAGTACCTTGAGAGTGTGGTGGACGGTCCTTTATATAACGAATATTGCGATTAGGGGACCGCACTGCCATTGTTCAGACGGCTTGGCATTCCCTCACGTCATGTGACTTCATGGAAGTTTCCTTCAGAGTCGGAATACTCGCCGGTGTATGAAAGAAGTCATCCAGACGGCAGTATCTCGGTGCTCTGGTGCCGGCGCCCACATGAACCGGGAGTGATTCACAATAGACGCGTACACAACACACGGCACTCGAGATCAGGATCGAGTGTTGTTTCCTTTTCGAGGAAAGCAGGGGCCTCGGAATACAGGCACGGGCATGTGCGTCGTTTACTTAGCCGACCAAGGTTAAGGTGCCTCAGGCAGACGGAGCCGACCATGGTTACGGTCCCGCAGGCAGAAGAACCCAGACACTTCGGAATGCAATCACGGGCACCGCCTGCTGTAAGGTCCCGCAAGCAGACGGAGCCGTAGGCACGATTCATCACCGACACAGTTCCTTCTTGAGGCTTGTTTCACTTTGAAGCCATAAGGCCGATTTCAACACCAGAAATAACAGGTGGCAGTTCACAACACTGTCCGCGTGCTCGGAACTTTCAGGTTGCGAGGTCTTCGCTTCGGGGACGCCACCTTGCCAGACACTCCGGTGTCGTTACTGACCGTCTCCAGGACCTCACGGACCGACTTCTCCGGGAAACACGTTTTTGAACTCGCGTACACGTTGGCGATCACCTGCTTGCACTTTTGCGAGATCTTCACACAACGAATCTTCGAAAATATCCGAGCAGGAAAAGAAAGCTTCCCGCGTAAGACGCCATCTTCACGAAACCGGCGAGGCAGGGGCAGCCGCACAACCCGAAAACCCGAAGCGAGTGCGAGTGCCGCACGAACGAAAACGGAAAATAATTTGGAGTAGTTTACATTATATTATCCTTTTTATTGAAAAAGAATTGGTGTTCCCTCGAAATCATAACGCCAATATTAGTTACTAGCTCCAAAGATGTACACTTTTCGACTTTTTTTTTTTTTTTTTCAGGGGCCGCACTATTTTGTGGAGCGAACGTAGTCGCGGTCGGCTGTGCGAATCGGCGCGCTAGCTTTGACTACATTGCACGCTATGTTTGAAACGGAGTATAGGGCGATGTTGTGCCCAAGAGACGGAGCGATGATGCTGCTGCTCGGTGGCTTGTAAGGATGGCGCCGTCGGCTGGCATGAAGGCGGCCAATGTAGAGGGTGTAGGCTGGATGCGGACGGTAGTTCAATGCGAGCAGGCTTCAGGCGGTCGACGCAGATGGTGTCATGCCGCCCGTTCAAATCCAGAACGAAGTACTTGTCGCGCCTTTCGAGGACCTTGAAAGGGCCATCGTAAGGTTGTTGCAGAGGCTTCCGGACTGCATCTCGACGCAAGAAAACGTGTGCGGCCGAGGTTAACTCGTCGAATACGTACGTCGGATGACGGTCGTGCTGCCTTGTTGGTGTGGCACGCAGGTTCCGCATAACTTCTCGAAACTGGGTGGCATAGCTGAAAGGATCGGGCGCAGTAGAAGTGGGAGACGTCACGAACATTTCTCCTGGGAGGCGAAGTGACTGCCCGTAGACTAGGTCTGCGGCAGTGCATCCCAAGTCTGGCTTGAGTGTTGTGCGGAGGCCTAGAAGCACGATGGGAAGAAGTGTGCTTCAGTTGTTCGGGTCGTTGTGTGCTCTTAAGTGCGGCCTTTAGGGTACGATGAAATCTTCCCACCAGGCCGTTAGCAGCGGGATGGTACGCTGTTGTTCGAATTCGGGAGGATCCGATAAGAGTCATGATCTCGTTAAACAAACGAGATTCGAATTGTGCGCCTCTGTCGGTGGAAATAGATGACGGAACTCCAAGTCGTGAAATCCAACCACTGACGATTGTCTTCGCAATGGTTTCCGCGCGGATGTCTGCGATAGGGAAAACTTCTGGCCAGCGGGTGAATCTGTCTATGCAAGTGAGCATGTAGATGGATCCGTCGGGTGGTGGCAAAGATTTCATCGTACCCTAAAGGCCGCACTTAGAGCACACAACGACGTTGCGTCAGTCACTGCTCTGAGTTTCGCGCTTTGGCGCCACCGCTGTAAGTCGTGCGCTTTGGCGCCACCGCTCTAAGTCTCGCGCTTTGGCGCTACAGGTCCAGTCTACGAGCCGCATTGAAGTGTCGTCACTCGTGGGACTATGCCAACCCTGCGAGCCCCGACCTATGTCGTCCCATTTTGCAAACAAAACATGGAAAAAAAGTATATATATATATCGTTTTTATTCTTGAAATTACGCTGCAACAAATAAGTTCCTTGTGCGTTCGAGTGTACAGGGTGCCACAAAAAATAATTTACAGTGTTTTTGTTACCGCAAAATTCAATGGGGCATCGCCGAGCGCTTATTCTCCGCCCGAAGGTGGCGCTAGAGGTCACAACCAGATGCCAAAGTTTCAGCCCCATCCGATACCCTATTCAAAAGTTGAAAGTGATTTTCTGAAAACTTCAATGGGAAATGGCGGCCGACGGAGTTTTTGAATACATGGGGCTCTATGGTACCAGAAACTGAGAACGGGCAAATATAGGCTCCATTTTCTCATTGAAGTTCTCAGAAAATCACATAACTTTTGAATAAGGTATCGGATCGGGCTGAAACTTTGGCATCTGGTTGTGACCTCTAGCGCTACTTTTGGGCGGAGAATGAGCGTTAGGTAATGCCTAGCTCATTTTTGTGGTAAAAAAAAAGTGTAATTTTTTTTGTGACACCCTGTACTTAGGTCTTACAAGTGGCAGTAATATGTTAAAGTTTATGTTAAACTTTCCACAGTGCTTTCGCAACGTGCATTCCACAGCATCAAGATCGTTGGTCTTTGCGGAGGTTAGGTATGAGCTTGACCTAAGGATGCGAAGACCTCTGCCGTGCCAACCATACCACTCACCCCCTCCCTTTCAAATATGACACCCAATGCATCCTTACTTTATACACATAGCTTGCAGGCGTCGCAATTGCTGAGTACTGACCGTTATTTCTACGTACTGGTGCTCCCTGCTACTACTTCTACGGTTTGAAAATGAAACACTCAACAGAACGTTTGTGGGGCATGAAATACCGGCATGGCCGTGAATGGCGTCACGGGCAAGCTATGCATATCATAGGGCGTACAGTCCTCAGACAATACTAATAGGTGAGATTGTTACGCGTTGACGCCACCAAGCGGCAATGCACGCCACTACAGTACCCTAGGCCGCGCAGGAGCACTTTACGTCACAAGCGCGACACGCGTTGTGCTTCTTGCTGGCCGATTTTGAATAGAGGAAGAGAGAGCTCGCGGCTACTTAAAGAAGGCAAACATTTTATAGTCACCGATTGGACACACAATTGGTTCAGCGCATTATTATGCACATCGAAACGGGTAACTTAGACGGCAAGTGAAAATAACCTTTTTTTTTGTTTTTATTTTCACGGCGCTCTTTAAGTTATGCCTTTGTTCTGGGAGGCTGAGAGGCTCCACTGGCAGCGCTGTAAACGTGACATCAGACGTTGTAATACGGGGCAATATGGGGGCATTACAGATTGTTCCCGAGGGTCGTGTGGAACGAATGCCGGTTGAGCTCACGCTAGCAACACGAAAAACTACGCACGAAATACTGCGTTGTTCGGACTACCCGCTCGACTTGCAAGTTATCTAGCATGTGACGTCATCCCACCGGAGAGTGCGGGAAAATGTTAAGGTTGTTTTTGGTACCACCTTCATTCCGCCTTTTCTCATTTGGCTACTTCGAATTTAGGTATAATAGATAGTTGATAGATAGATGAGGTTTATTATTATTTATTAATTAACAAAATAACATGCAGGAAAAGATGAAGCGTGGTTATTCCGAAAGCCTGTTTGGGTAGCCCGAAAAAAACCGGCGTAGCTTTCCTTTGGGCAAGAAGGTGGCTCGAGTGTCGAGGGTAGCTTTTAGTGGCTCTGGGTGCAACGGGGTTCCCGGATGCAGACGAGCTGGAGAACTGGCACATCGAGCCGAGGCCCAGCACCAGCTGCAGGCCGGCATCGGCGTGCGGGGAACGGCGGCCGACGACGGAGCCCAAGTACCTGTACTGCCGAGCGCAGCAGACGAGAGGAGAGGAACAGCTCGAACCCTGGAGTCTCCGTGACGCTACGACGTGCCAAGGCCAATGGTCGCAGGTAGCCGCCATAGGTTATCATAAAACAGACTGTCACTGCGTTCGTGGACGTTGGGGGAGCTATCCTGTGACCTCGTTGCAGCAAGTAGTCGGAGAAAGGCGTTTCGTTCTGGGCTCAGGGTTTCGCCAATACCGCCTAAAAGAGAAATCCTGCACCTTTCCCCCAAACTGTCCACGCAGCGTTTCACAAGGGGCGGGATGCTCGCACGCGACTTGGATTCTAGGAGCCACGGAGCTAGATCGTTAACGTATGCGTTAAAAAAGCATAGGTTCTATAGCACCGATCCCTGCGGGACGCCGCAGATGATGTCCACGGCATCACTCACACTTTCCCGAATTCTGATTCTCCGCGTTCGGTTGGTCAAGTGATCCTTAAGTAATCTATAAAACGGTTCTTGAAATTCAAGGTTACTTAGTTTATCCAGTAATATTAAGTGATCAATCGTACCGAAGGCTTTTGTTGTGTCCAAAAATAGTGCAAGCCCGCCAGAATATTTCGATGAATGGTGATTTCAGATAAGATCGACCAAAGGGTGGCTGGTCGGCATTTTTAAATCAACTGATGTTTTTATGTGGCATTGTCTAGTGTCTGGTATAAACGAATCCACACTTAGTTTTGACCAGAAAAAAAAAATTGGAGACAAGACAAATCGTAAGGCAGGGAGAGGTGGACAGTTGCAATAACGCGCACTGATGGAGGGGGCAAGTTTGAAAGTGAATAATTAAAACAATAAAATTAGGAGAATTTTAAAACTTTTTACAAACAAACTATGGGTACAACTTGCTTGTAATATAAAGTAATAATATTTATTAAAAATTTATTTAGTTTTCTAAAAATTGCCAAACATGCCTGCTCGAACGACAAATGGCAAACTTTGGAAATCTGTATCTCATGAAATAATTTAATCATTATTACATAACTTGCAGACATTATTTTACTAATATATGGCTATTATTGAAAAGATAAATAAGGTATCTGAGTGACACAATAGTTACAATATATTTAGGCAAACATGGGAAAAAAATCAAACAAAGAAAAATTCCAATGCGAATAAAAAAAAACACCACCTTCGATTTTTTTTAAATTTGGGTACCCTGTTATACTCTATTTCGGCATTCATTTCTATTAAAAACATGTTGCATCATTGCAATGTGAAAGAAGAAACAACTCCCCAAAGTAGGGTCCTTTTTCAAAGCCTACACTTAGCAGTGTCCTATACAAGAAGTGACTCTGAGTTCCAGTTTCATGAAACTTGCACAAATCTTTTATATACATTTATTCAGATGAGGTCATTGATAAAAAGAGCGATCGGTCACACAGTAAAAGGGAGGAGAAACTATATACAGCATTTTACATAAGCGTACAAAGTGGTATCATATTAGAGACTAATGATTTGAGAAAAGATGATGCAGTGTGAAGTTGTACCTTCCGGTATATTTTACATCTAGAGTAAAATAAATAACTTTACTTCCACACACAAAAAGAAAGATATAATAGTAAGATATTTAGGTTCGCTGTGTATTTACGATTACAAACAATTTCAGGTGACGGATGCCATAGTGCCTAACTGGAGCAGCTTCGATGCTCTCGGTGTATGAATGAATCGTGGCAAGCCGATATATTTTATCCTGCTCGAGGATAACATTTCGGGATTTTTTTTATAGTGATCAGATAAAAATTATTAGTAACCACCAACAAAAACAGTAGGTTAAATACCCCGTGAAGAAAAATGTGATAGATAAGATGTCCCTGCATTCAAAATGAGCAGTCCTTGGGAAATCAAATTCGGCACTTTACGCTAAGGTTTTCCTCGCTGTACCCATTTAATAAAGTTGCTTCCAAGCAGATCCGACTGTCCGTGCTACATATACGTCACAGGTCCCTTCTGTTGATGACTTGCTGAGCCGCCACGCGTGCCAAGACTGAATGCCAGGGAAGGCGCGCACCGTCAGCCACTCTTCTTTTTTTTGTTCACGATACCGAACAACCTCATTTTCGTCCAGATATACAAGATGCACGCCTTTCAGTTTCTTTGATAGAACGCTCACCATTGTCCTGGCCGTCTGAATTGCGCTTACTGAACGTTCTCTCAGGTTGTTCAGCGTGGCCTGGTGCTTCACGAGTCTGCCAACTCCGTCACATGCATTTTTCCCATGTCCAGATGCAGAAAATAACCACTGGGCTTGTGGGCAATCGTCCTTTGCAAATTGGTGAAGCTGGTAGCGATTCTTGAAATGACTGGCGGCGCCTTCACTTACGTACGTCACGTACGAGTATACCGCAACGTTGTCTTCAACCCACTCCTTCACTTTTTCTAGAGCCAAGCGAGCGTGAGCGGCGTCGTGACACAGGTCCTCACTGATGATGGCAAAGCTGTTTGTAGATTTTCTTGTCGTCACTACACATGTAAATATCGAAACTTGTTTTTTTTTTTCCAGTGATATGCTTGCACTTCGTCAGGAAGCCGATGGTCCAGTTTTCAGCAAAGTCAAAATGAAAGACAATGCTCCCGCGTTGCATGCACTGTTTTTCATCGTAGATCGCTTTACCTCGCGTTTGCCGGATATGGTTGTGAAGTACCCAACTTCCAACCGTCACTTGGATGACTTTTAGGAAAGTCTCAGGTTCCAAAGTTTTTTTCACGAGGTCGCCGGGCTCCCATGTTGCAAGCACAATCTCTTCATCCTCCGGGATATCAAGTTCCTGGAGTGTAAGAAACTGGCCTTTTGGGCAGTGATCACAGTCTCCTTGAAGGCATAGTTCTGTTGCTGGGTCGCACAGAAATGCCGAGTTCATTTCACCAGTGTTGAATGTTGAGCCTGTAACGTTCTCTAGAGCGGCAATACAAAGATAATAATTGGCGCAGCGCACACAAACGCACACTTCCTGGTGTGGAATACATTGGACCTATCTAGGGCGCAACGAATAAAATTTCGTTAGCCCAACGCCGGAATCGGGATGCTTGTCTTTGTATATACGGAAGGCCTCTCGTATTGAGCGTGTCATGAAGCGCTTTGGCACGAACGTTTTCTCTCCGTTGAGCATGACAGAGATGACGTCCTTCTGGTTGGGACTTTGGCGCGAACATTGTAGCTCGTCTTTCGTGAAGTACTCTAGGGCAGCAGACAGGTTCTCAGGGCTCACCTTGCACCTCATGTAAGTATCCGGCTCCTACCACACGCCATGCTTTTCCTTGAGTTTTCGGGATTTACTGATGAGGTACATTGAGGCCTGTGGAATCATCTTTTGAACCTCATTCTTCGTCAGTGTTGACGGCAGGAGTGTAAGCAGTTGACAACGTTCCCGGAGAGAGGTGGCGGTTTCAAAGGCCTGCCGAAAGTTGTCCACCCACTCAGTGCATGTGGAGCATGTTGGTTCGGACGGCCCCGATGGTGCGTCCCTGTCGTACGCAATACGTAGCCTTGAGCGTATATTCTTGACAGCAACCTGCTCCAGTTCTGTCTGCTTTCTCTTGACATAGGCAGGCCTGTCCCGACTTCTTACGACGCTTGGTTGTCTTAGCGGCGACACATCTGTAGGTAGTATGCCGCGATTTAGATCTTCAATTGCTTCTTCAGCTGGCACAAATATGTCAGGGCACTGCTCTGAGCTTCGCATCGAGATCTCCTTAGTGATGTGCATGAAGCAATGGTAGCACAGGTAGTCCGTCGCACTCACTTTGTTGGAACCGTCAGGCGGAAGAATTTGCTTCAACGAGTTTAGGTTCAACTCGCCAACACTTCGAAAATTCCGCTGCTTTGGTATAGTCTTTTTGTGTTTGCAAAAGTAATCTGCACAAAACACTCGTTCGGAGCTCCAGGACGTCTTCATAATGTATACATAAATAATAGAAATTAAACCCCAACTGATGGCATATAATTGCCAAGTGAAAGAACTACTGGGTGCACAAGTGACAAGTCCGAGGCTGAGGAGCTCACTCACTGCAAACGTACATTTAAAAAGAGAGGTCACAACTGAGGCTGTCGGCAAAGCTTGATCCACGTCAAAGGAAGAAAGAGGGAAAGTCTCCAGACAAAAAATCGTGGTCAGCGGCCTTCGAAAACGACTTTCCGGAATCGCACTGTCGTCCCTCCACGCGCTGATATGAAAGCACCCGAGCTTCTACCACGTGGTTCATGACACAGCCTGAGCCATGTCGGCGACCGGTTCGCGAGGGGTTGGCGGTGGGGTTACGTTGATGGTCACTCGGATTAGCCCTTGCTGTACTGAGCTACCGCCTGCAGTGCCTTATCGCCGGCTGGTGTCAACAACGAGAACACACACACCCTGTCTACACCAAAACTACAAGCGTTCACCGCACACGCGTCGCCGCCGCTTTTAAGCTTTTGTGAAATTGCTTTCTTTTGCCGCGGAGAACCGCCTTATCTTAACTACGCGCCTGAAATCCTTCCAGGCGGGCGTACACAATATCAAGCGTTTCGAGAAATGCCCGTGGAGTAGAACTATGGGAAAATTCGGAGCCCGCGATGTCGATATCGTCGCCGTTGTGTTAGTACGCCGTCGCGTACTGCAGTCCCCCGTTGGGGGAGGGGGGGGGCGGTCTTACTACGATAACATGGCGACAGCGTTTACACTCTATGTATTTACGCGAGGCTCGAGTATTTGGGGATAATGCTGCCGGTTGGTGTGCCCCTTTGTGCCTGATATTATCGCCCGTGACGCCAGCGAGTGAGATGGCGACAGGCATGACTGCTCAGTAAACAGGCGTCGGCGGCCATGTTTTGCTGGTTGAAGCGAACCCCCTTGTCCTTGACAGCGAGCGGGGAAATGCGAAAAAAAGATTGTATCGGCCGTTTTGCCAGAACTAGCGACGAGTGTCGTCTGCGGTTTCCGGCAACTATTTTGCCATAATCGTGAGCTTAGCGAGGAAATGATTTTTGCTAGCCACAGAACACTACCACGCAGAAAGGGAATGCTTGAACATGTTTTTGTTCTGGATATATATCAGGGATATATATGAGAGAGAGAGA